GCTATTTTGCCGAAGTGACTTATGATTTCTAAAAGTTTGGGGATGGAGTTTTTGGGATCGTGGAGGTATAGTATCATGTCGTCTGCAAAAAGGGATAGTTTCACTTCTTCTTTCCCTATGCGGATCCCTTTAATGTCTTTTTCTTGCCTTATTGCCCTGGCTAAGTGTTCTAGGACTATGTTGAAGAGGAGTGGAGACAGTGGACATCCTTGCCTTGTTCCTGTTTTTAGGAGGATTGGTTGTAGCTTTTCCCCATTAAGTATAATATTGGCTATTGGTCTGTCATAAATGGCTTTTATTGTTTTTAGAAATGTTCCTTCTATTCCTATTTTCTCCAGAGCTTTTAGCATGAATGAATGTTGAATTTTATCAAAGGCCTTTTCTGCATCTGTGGCGATAATCATGTGATTCTTGACCTTGGCTCTGTTGATATGCTGGATTACATTTATTGACTTACGTATGTTAAACCATCCCTGTGTCTCTGGGATGAAGCCTACCTGATCATAGTGTATTATTTTTTTTATGTGTTTCTGGATTCTGTTAGCTAGAATCTTGTTAAGGATCTTTGCATCTGTGTTCATCAAGGAGATTGGCCTGTAATTCTCCTTTTTGGTTGGGTCTTTGCCTGGTTTGGGGATGAGTGTGATATTGGCTTCGTAGAATGAGTTTGGGATAGCTCCCTCCTTCTCTGTTTCTCTGAAGAGCTTGAGGAGTATGGGTATTAGTTCTTCTTTAAAGGTCTTATAGAATTCTGCTGTGAATCCATCTGGTCCTGGGCTTTTTTTTGTTGGAAGACTTTTGATAGCTTCCTGTATCTCATTATAGGATATTGGCTTATTTAATTGGTTAACTTCTTCTTTGCTCAGTTTGGGTAACTTGTATTTCTCTAAAAATGCATCCATTTCCGCCAGATTTTCTTCCTTTAGAGAGTATAGCTTTTGAAAGTAGTCTGTTAGAATTGTTTGGATATCTTGGGTGCGTGTTGTGATGTTTCCCGTGGCATCCCTAATCCTATTAATATGGGTTTCCTCTCTTCTTTTTTTAATTAATCTTGCCAACGGGCCATCAATTTTGTTTATTTTTTCAAAGAACCAGCTTTTTGTTTGGTTTATTTTGGTTATGGTTTTCTGATTTTCTAATTGGTTAATCTCTGCTCTCAATTTGGTTATCTGGCTTCGTCTAGTAGCTTTAGGTCCCATTTTTTCTTGTTTTTCTAGCTGTTTTAGTTGCAACATGAGATTATTTACTTGGTCTGTCTCCATTCTCTTGATGTGGGCACTGAGGGCAATAAATTTGCCCCTCAGGACTGCTTTTGCTGTGTCCCACAAGTTTCTTTGTGAGGTGTTTTCATTTTCATTGAGTTCTAGGAAATGCTTTATTTCTTCTCTGATCTCTTCTGTTACCCAGGCCTTGTTAAGGAGTGTGCTGTTCAATTTCCATGTATTAGAGAAATTTCTGCGGTATGCTTTGTTATTGAGAGCTAGCTTGATTCCACTGTGGTCAGATAGGATACAGGGGATTATGTCGATCCCTTTGTATTTGCTTAAGTTCCTTGAATGAACTATGATATGGTCTATTTTGGAGAAAGTTCCATGAGCTGCTGAGAAGAATGTGTACTGTGTTGTTTTAGGGTGAAATACTCGGTAGATGTCAGTTAATTCCGCTTGAAGTATGGCCTCACTTAATTCGGTAGCTTCTTTACCAATCCTCTGGTTGGTAGACCTGTCCTTTGGTGAGAGTGGCGTGTTAAAGTCTCCTAGTATTATCGTATTGGGATCTATTTTATTCTGTAAGTTTGAGAGCATTTGTTTAACATATCTGGGTGCACCAATATTTGGGGCATATAAGTTGATGATGGTTATATCCTCCTCTTGGATTGTTCCCTTTATTAATATGTAGTGTCCGTCCTTGTCTTTCTGTACTGATTTTAATGAAAAGTTTATTTTGTCAGATATCAGGATAGCTACACCTGCTTTCTTATTGGGGGAATTTGATTGGTAGATCCTTTTCCACCCCTTCACTCTGAGTTTGTTTGTATGTTTGGCTGAGAGGTGGGTCTCCTGAAGGCAACAGATGGATGGGTCTTGTTTTCTGATCCAGTCCTCAGTTCGTTTTCTTTTAATTGGCGAATTCAGCCCATTTATATTAAGAGAAAGTATAGAGAGATGCATTGTTGTCCCTGCCATTCCGTTTTCCTAAGTTTTTCTTCTTTCCTTTCCTCCTGTGCTTGCTCAGTTAGACTTTGAGTAATGCCTGTTTGGGGCAGGTCCCAGTTCCTGGTTGCTTTCTTCAGGTTGTGTCCCCCCTCTTAGAATTCTTTGTAATGCTGGCTTAATGTTTATGTATTCATTTAGTTTTTCTTTGCTATTAAAAGTTTTCAGTTCTCCATCGAATGTGAATGCTAGCTTTGCCGGGTATATCAGTCTGGGTTGGCAGTTATTGGCTCTCAGGGCTCGTATGGTGCTTTCCCAGGCTTTTCTTGCATTCATTGTTTGTGTGGAGAGATCTGCAGTGATTCTAATTTTTTTCCCGTTGTAGTATAGCTCCTTCTTCATTTTTGCTGCATGCATGATTGTTTCCTTATTATTCAGATCCATCATTGTTACTATTATGTGCCTAGAAGTGTTTCTCCTGGGATCTTGCTTGTTGGGTGTTCGATAAGCTTTTGTGATGTAGTTAAGATGGTCGTTTTTGAGGTGGGGAAAATTTTCATTGACTATCTTGTTAAATAGGTGTTGCATTCCCTTGCTCTGGAATTCCTCACCTTCGTCCACTCCGATTATGCGAAGGTTAAATTTTTTAGCATTATCTGCTTGCTCTTGAATTTCCCTTTGGTTTAATTTGAGTGATTTTTCCATATCTGTCACTTTTTGGTCCAGTTGGTGTATTCTGTCTTCTGTATCTGACACTCTACCTTCCATTTCATTCACTCTGTTGACCGTGGCTTCTATTGTGGTTTGCATGGTGGAAATGGATCCCTTTATGGATTCAATGTTGGTTCTCAGAGTACTGATCTCACCTCTCAATGAGGTGAGATCAGTATGCATTACCTCTAATTTGGCGTTTATCTCACTTCTTACTGAGGTTTGTGCAGCTTCTATTTTTGCATCCAATTTTTGTTTGATATCCTGTATATCTTTTGATAGTTCATCCTTGTGCTCTTTCAATTTCTGATCCATTTCTCGCTTTATTTCTTGAGTCATTGCCTCCAGCAACCCTTGGATGTAGTTTTTGTCTTCCATTCCTGCTTTGCTCCCACTGGGGCTCTCCCCTGCGTGGCTGCTGGCTTTTGAGGTGAGCTTGCTGTCCTGGGTAGTGGTAAACCTTGTGATTTTTCTCTGTGATTTTCGCATGGGGGTTCAGGAGACTGCTCTTCAATCTTGTTTTGGTGTGTCTGTCTTTGCTTGGTTGCTGATTCTGTATTGGTAGAGAGAGTCTGTGCCTGATCTGGATTCTGTTGGGAGCCTATTTCCAGCTGCTATTCACTTAGGATTCTCAGCTCTCTGCTGTAGCAATTCCCGCCTTTGGAAGGGTTGAGCAGCCTGGACTGCTTGTGTTTGCTCCTGCGGGTGCTCTTGGGAAGATCAGATGCTCTGGATGCACTCTCCCAAATACTGGAGTCTGCTATGGGCTCCTGATGTGTTTTTGTTTGTTTGTTTTGGGCTGGTTGTGGGCTTGAACTCTAGGTTTGGGTGCTGTCCCTCAGCTCTTCAGCTCAGGGCTGGCACCCTACCATTTGAGCCACAGCCCCACTTCTGACCCTTTTTGCTTTGTTCAGGCGCCGGTCCCCTGGCCTGGTTCCGGCCCCAGCCTGGAGCGCGCTCGTTAGGCCTGTGCTAATGTGTATACCACCTTGGTTATGCAGCCTGGAGGACACAGTTCAAATTTCTTCTACTGTTGGTAGTCTTGACCCAGAGGCACTGTTCCTGGCTTGAGCATTTAAGCTCCCTTCCAGGGGCGCTCTTGCTCTGGCCTGGCCAGCAGAGTGTGCTCTACCGGCTGGTGGAGCTCTCGAACAGTTCCCAGTTTTAGTGGGTCCTGTGGTCCGGGTGTTGGGGTAGGGAGTCTAGGTCAGGGTCTGGGGATTCCCTCCAGCTCTGGTCTCCCTTGATGGATTCCCTGTCCCCTGATGGGTACTCACCCTGTAGGTCGTCAGTTGTTGTTGCAGTCCGTCAGTTGTTGTTGCAGTCCGAGTTCAGTTGGGGTGGTTGCGGGCTGGGTTGGGCGGCCCCCCGCCGGGTCGTTGCGACCGCGATTGGGCGGGTGGTCTGCGGACAGGTCCCTTTGTGGCGCTGCTGGTGCCGGGCGGCTTTGGCGGGATGGAGCCTCTCTGCTCCGGTGGAGAGTGATGGGTGGGGTGGGATCCTCCTGGAGACTCCCGGCTGGTAGGTTTCTCTGTTCCTGGCGATCCGCTGTTCTGCAATCCGGTACCTGGTGATCTGCAAGCAGCCCCCTGTGTCTCTGGGGCTCCGGCAGCCCCCGCCGGGCCAGCTGGCCGGCGGCTTGGCGCACTGCCGCGCGGCCAGTAAAGGTTGGGGGAGGGGTCTTCGCTCTTCTCTGTTCTGAAATTCTTCTTTTCCTCTCTTTCTTTTTTTTGTTATTTTCCACCTCTGGTTTTTCTCTGAGTGTTCGTCTTTTTGTTGTTGTTGGTCTCTTGGGGAGATTAAAGGTTGGAACTCGAACTCTCTTTTTGGTTGGAGAGAGCTGTGGCGTTTCCCTACTGCCCCGTCGCCATCTTGGTCCCCCTCCTCCCGGCTCATTTTCCAGTGAGCCATGTGTCAGGGCTGCCTTGTGGCACACCTGAACTCTCGGCTTTTGTATAGCATGCTCCTTCCTTCCAGGAAGAAAAAAAAAATCTCCAGTTCCCTTTGACTCTTCCTTTCTTCCACAGCATAATTTTTGCTCTTTTCTTTTTCAGCACACTCCTTGCCCATTTGAAGAACCAATAAAAGGTCAGAGTGGAGAGAGCAAAGCAAGCAGAGGGGAGTGTGGCCCCAGACATGAGGTACAGTACCGTCTCCTCTGACTGGGGGTAGAGTGAGAAGCAGAGATGACAATGCAGAGATGGCCAGTCAGTAGATAGTAACATCAGGAGATGAGAGAGAAAAGTGGAAGTTGGAGGAGAGAGTGATGGCAGGTAGCTATTGTTTGAAACACAGAGGCAGGGAAGGAATGTCTGATAACACAATACCTGAACAAAGACCTGAATGCTTTACAGAAGACAAAGCTCAGTGAGGCAAAACAACTTTCCTAAAATTCCAAGGTGGCTCAGTGGTACAGTACTTGCCTTGCATGCATGAGACCTTGGGTTTGATTCCTAAGCACAACATAAACAGAAAAAGCCAGAAGTGGCACTGTGGCTCAAGTGGTAGAACACGAGCCTTGAGCTGAAGAGCTGAGGGACAGTGCCCAGGCCCAGAGTTCAAGCCCCACAACAACAACAACAAATCCACTACAAATACTATCTCCTTCTGTAGGGAGTGTATCTCAGTGTCCTCAGAAATTCTTTTTTTTTTTTTGGGGGGGGGGTCCGTTTGTGGGGCCTGAACTCTGGGCCTGGGCACTGTCCCTCAGCTCTTCAGCTCAAGTCTAGCGCTCTACCACTTGTGCCACAGCGCCACTTCTAGCTTTTTTCTTTTTGCTTATGTGGTGCTGAGGAATGCAAGGCAAGCGCTCTACCACTGAGCCACCTTCCCAGCCCTGTCCTCAGAAATTCTTTGAGCATAATTCTTGCATTAAATATTTCCTCTGTCCTTTGCATTAAATTTTACTTTATTTATTTATTTTTGTCGGTTGTGAGGCTTGAACTCAGGGCCTGAGCTCTGTCCCTGAGCTCTTTTTGCTCAAAGTGAGCCCTCTCCCACTTTAAGCCACAGCCCCACCTCTAGTTTTCTGATAGTTAATTTGAGATTTTCCTGGCTGGCTTCAAACTGTGACTCTCAGATCTCAGCCTCCATAGTAGCTAAGATTACAGATACGAGCCACCAGTGCATAGCCTTACATTAAATATTTCTAAGAAGTCAAAGTCATGTAAAAGATGAGTGTGTAGTGTGTGTCTGTGTCTGTGTTTGTGTTTGTGTGGTATCAGTTAGTAGAAGGGTAAAAATAACTGTAATCCTAGCTACTTAGGAGGCTGAGATATGAGGATCACAGTTTGAAGCCAGTTTGGGCAGGGAAGTCCAGGAGACTCTTATCTCCAATTAATCATCAAAATGTCAGAAGTGGAGCTGTGGCTGAAATGGTAGAGGCACTAGCCTTGAGCAAAAAAGCTCAGGGACAACATCTTGGCTGTAAGTTCAAGCCCTAGGACCAGCATACATAATTTAAAAAGTCGTTTAGAATTGTTATTTTGAAACTCAGTAAATCTATAACTCTAAAATCTGCACCTTCTAATTTTCTTTAGGTCTACTCAGGAGGATGAGTATTCCCTTGTAGAAGCTGAAACTGATCTACAGAATCTGTTTGAGATGAGGCGAGAGTCTCAGGATTCAGATTATTTGATGGAAGAAACCTTATCGGCAGATTCAAAGCATTCTTATAGAATTCTTGGGATTTTGAAAGACAAGAGTTTAGGCTCCTGGGTTTCAGAGACTCAGCTTTCAGAGACCCGGGCTGCAAAGGCTCAGGCCTGGGAGACCCAGGCTTTTGAGGCTCAAGCCAGGGCCAACCAACCCAAGCGAAGTCTTCCAGAGGCAACAGCTGCCTCGGTCCCAAAACACAAACCCTTCAAGGAGGAAGAAGTAACAAATAATAAACAAAATGATGTCTTCCTTAGCCGTCCTCTGTGGTCCAGCAAAGCTGAATACATTCTGGCCCAGCTGGGCTACTCTCTGAGGCCAGTCAATTTCTGGCGCTTTATCTTCTTGTGCCTTCACTCAGGAGGCTGTAAGTCAGGGGACTAGGAAGCATGGATCCATGGGTGGCTAGCAGGACAGAGGCCCATCCAGGCTTCAAAGTAACATCTGTGAAATATATTGATCTGGAGATTTGGTACTCTGAGCATGATAGGAGCAAGGTGCCTGAACACTCAGGGTCAGCGGAGGGGTAGAGTTGCAGGTATCTGTTCCTGAGGATAATAGGGCTGGAGGCCTATTCAAGGGTGTGAGTGAGAACTAGTTATCTGGATCTTTCAGAAATTAGAGTCTAGGAGGGGAGACTGAGGGCTGTGAAAACAGATGACCTTGAGAGAGGTGACAGTTGGTGGAAACCTGCCTTCCTGGCTTGGTGAAGAAGTCTAGACACTTAAAAGGCCAGATGATTCTCAGAACCTCTCCTGAATTCTTTCCACAGGCAGCTTCTTCATTATCTACGTCATCATGCTGTTCTTGGTTGGGATCCCACTTCTCTTCCTGGAGATGGCAGTTGGTCAGCAAATGAATCAGGATAGCCTAGATTCATGGAAGATCATTGGCCCCTGGTCTGGTGGTGTGGGGTATACCGCCTTTCTGGTAAGAAGCCCAGGCCTACTTTCCCACTCCTTCTTGTCTTAGCTCTCATTCTGGAATAGACCCTATGACCTCACTCCCATAGATCAAGTTCCTCAGTCCCTTGATCCTCTCTCTACTAGATCTCCTCCTTTTCCTGTCTGTAACTCTTAGTCCACAGCCCCCTCTCCCCGGTCCTTAGGTATGCTTCGTCACCAGCACTTACGTGAATGTGATCAATTCCTGGATCCTCTTCTATGTGAGTCATTCCTTCCAGGCCCATGTTCCATGGCAGAAATGTCCTTTATTGAAGAATTCCACTGTCTTTGGTGAGGAGGAAATTGCAGAGGAAGAGAAGGGGAAATGGAAATGTGGAAGGAAATTTGGAAGAGAAGAAAGGAGCAAGAGGGGACAAGGAAGATAAAGATAGAAAAATCAAGGGGAGGGCTGGGATGTAACTCAGTGGCAAAGCACTTGCCTAGCAAGTGCAACGTCCTGGGTTCAATCCCCAGTACCAAAAAAGAAAAAGACAAAATTATATATATATATATATATATATAGTTAAAAAAAAAAACACCACCAGTTGGTTGCTGGTGGCTCATGATTGTAATCCTAGCTACTCAGGAGGTTGAGTTCTGAGGATTGAGGTTCAAAGCCAGCCTGGGTGGGAAAGTCCATGAGACTCTCTCTTATCTCCAATTAACCACCAGAAAACTGGAAGTGGTGCTGTGGCTCAAGTGGTAGCGTGCTTTCCTTGAGCTGAAGAGCTGAGGGACAGCACCCAGGCCCAGAGTTAAGCCCCAGACTAACAACAAAAAAAGAAAATGGGAGGAGACAGAAGGGAAAGAAATAAGAGACAAAAAAGGAGGGAGGGGTTAGCCTGTCATCTCTAAAGCCACTGTCCCCCAGATCCCGAGTGTGCACGGACATCTCCCTCCATGTACTACTGGTACAGGAAGATCTTAAAGGCCTCAAACACAATTGAAGATGGTGGGCTCCCAGCCTTGAGTCTGAGTATGCCTTACTTTCTGGCCTGGTGTCTTGTTTGTGCTTTCATGATCAACGGGCTAAAGTCCACTGGGAAGGTGAACCAATTTTTTTGATTTCTTGGCAGTCTCAGATGCTTTCTCCTATTCCTCATTTTGTTACATGTTGATGTTCAAGGTTTTTCTTCCACAAGTCTAACTCCTATTAACTTCCAACTCAGAATTTTTGGTCCTTGCTTACCATTGGTTGGTTCCTCCTGGCACATGGTTGTTGATATTAGCCTCCCTCTCAATCCAGGTACTGTATATCTTAGTGCCGCTTTCCTGTTTCATCATATTCTGTTTACTCATCCGGAGTCTCATGCTGGACGGGGCAATGTATGGCCTTCAGTATTTGCTGAAAATCAAGGTGATGCATATGTTCCTCAATCCCCATTATCACCTGTGCCTCCCTCCCACCTCTCCCCAGCAGGCTGTTATAATCACCCATCTCTGCATCCCTCCCATATTTGTCTTCTTCCTTTTAGACATCAACTATGTACAGCTTCACTACATGGTCTGTAGCAGGCTGCCAAGTTTTGTTTGATCTGGGCCTAGGATTTGGCCCCGTTATCTCCTTAGCTTCGCACATGCCTCGCTCCAACAACTGTCTCAGTGATGCCTTTCTCTTGGCTCTGGCCAAGATAGTCATCTTGTTGCTTATTACACCTTGCCTTTTTGCTATCCTGGGCTTCTGGGCAACATCCGTCACACATCGCTGCAGTGAGAGGTAAGGCCAGCTTCTTGGTTGACGGTCCTACCTCCAGGGAGCTTTAAAGTAAGACCTTATTTCCAAAATAACCAAGGCAGAAAAATCTTGGCAAGCGGAAGGCCCTGATTACAATCCCTAGAAAAAAAATTCTCTGTTTAGTAGTCCCTTTACCCCCACATTCAATGTAGTTTTGTTATTCACTTGAAAGCTGGATTCAGTTGTTTCATTTTTGGGGGTTTTTTTTTTTTGGTCGGTCGTGGGGCTTGAACTCTGGGCTTGGGCGCTGTACCTGCACTCTTCAACTCAAGAGGAGCGCTCTACCTCTTGAGCCACAGTGCCATTTCCGATTTTCTAGTGGTTTATTGGAGATATGAGTCTCATGGACTTTCCTGCCCGGGCTGGCTTTGAATTGCAATCTTCAGATCTCAGCCTCCTGAATAGCTGATTACAGGCATGAGCCAGTTGTTTTGTTTGTATAACATTTTAAGATTTCCTCACATTTTTGTTTGGAAACAGTCGGCTTTCAAAAAACAAAATTATAAAATGGTACTCAGAAATATCACTCTCTACTGTTGGTTGGCTTAATTTTCATTTATTTCCAATGACAGTAGTAGTCTAGCTGTCTAACTGGCATTAGATTACTGACCAGCCCATATAATGGTGTTTATTTTGTTTTTTGGTTGTGGGGCTTGAACTCAGTGCCTAGGCACTGTCCCTGAGCTGCTTTCACTCAAGGCTAGCTCTCTACCGCTTTGAGCCATAGTATCACTTCTGGTTTTCTGGTGGTTTATTGGAGTCTCACAGACTTTCCTGCCTGGGCTGGCTTTGAACCACAATCCTCAGATCTCAGCCTACAGAGTAGCTAGGATTACAGGTATGAGCCACTGGCACCTATGTAATGTTTGTTTTCTAAGACGTGATCTAGCTATACTTCCCCCCTCCCAAGCATGCACTTTATAATTATTTTTTTTTGATCGGTCGTGGGGCTTGAGTTCTGGGCTTGGGTGCTGTCCCTCAGCTCTTCAGCTCAAGGTGAGCACTCTACTGCTTGTGCCACAGCGCCACTTCTGGTTTTCTAGTGGTTTATTGGAGATAAGAGACTCATGACCTTCCTACTTGGGCTGGCTTTGAACCATGATCCTCAGATCTCAGTCTCCTGAGTAGCTAGGATGACAGGCATGAGCCACCGGCACCCGGCTGCACTTTATTCTTATCAGTAGAGTTTGGCAAGCTGTCTGTTTTGGTTCTCAGAGCAATGAGCTAGATTTTTAAAGACTTGTACAAATTAGCCACTGGTGATGGGCCAGGGTTGCAACTGGACATGACAGAGCCTGGCCTGGTAGCTAAACCTGGGCAAAGCACAGAACATGTCCCAGTTTGTGGTGGGAGATGAGTCTAAAGCAGTCAGCAAGGTTCATATCAACAAGTCAAAGAAGCAATTTCTTTCACATAGAACAGCTCCTTGGGGACATTACATATATCCTAGTCTAAGTAAACCATACTTCCAGAATCCTGGAATATGAGACTTAAAGTTCACTTTTACCCACTGGTGTTAGAAAAGAAGGGGGCAGTGTGGGAGGGCATACACACCTGTCATTCCAGCATTAGGGACACTGAGGCAGGAGGATCATGAGTTTGAGGTCAGTCTGTGCTACACAGTGAAGCCCAGAAGAAAAAAGAAAGGGAGGGAGGGGAGCAATGAACAAGAGACCACACAATCTTCATAGCATTGTAGGTTTCATGTCAGTCACTTGTCTGGAAAACAGAAGAAAAGGGAGGACATCTCCTGGGAGCCACATGATTCTGTCTGATTCACCTCCTTATCCTCAGGAATACTGAGTCCATCATAAAGATGATCATCCAAGGAGACCTCCCTCCTGAGGCCCAGCCCCCTGCTGACATGGGAGAGGACCCCACTTTCATCTATAGCACCTGGCTCGAAGCACTTCCTGAGCACCTTCAGGTGCTGGTCCGCAGCAAGGTGCCTGAATGCAGCAAACGCAATCAGTTTTTAAAGGTCAGTAAACAACAGCTGAGGGCACACCAGGGAGAAAGTCCCAGAGAACCAGGGTGACCTGCAGCCCCCGTAGAAGGAATCGAGCTCACAGATGCCCTTTCGAGGATAATGCTAGGTGAATTTTTTTTTTTAAATAGCCTCATTTGTGTGGTTGTGTGACTTTGAGTAGTTAGATGCTCTGTCACTGAGCCTTGCTTCTAGCTCGATTTTTCCATTGGTTATTTTTGAGATAAGATCTTACTTCCTGCCTGACTCTGTAATTGTGATCCTCCTCCTCCTCTTTCTTTTGCTTCCACCGTAGCTGGTAGCTGACACGATAGATGTGTGCCAATACGCCCAGCTGCTTCTGTTGAGATGGAGCCTCCTGGACTTTTCTGCCCAGGCTGACCTGAAATCTTGATCCTCCCAATCTTAGCCTCCCAAGTAGCTAAGATCACAGGTGTGAGCCACCACACCTAATTTTAGTATCCTCCTTTTTATTCCTACATATTCATTGTGGTGGATTGGTTTTCTGCATCAGAGGCTGAGCTTGGAGATCTGATTTTCTTTTTTTCTTTCTTTCTTTTTTTTTTTTTTGTGTGTCGGGCGCTGTCCCTCAGCTCTTCAGCTCAAGGTGAGCACTCTACCACTTGAGCCACAGCACCATTTCCGGTGTTCTGGTGGTTAATTGGAGATAAGAATCTCACAGACTTTCCTGCCAAGGCTCGATTTTGAACGGAGATCCTCAGATCTCAACCTCCTGAGTAGGTGGGAAACAGGCGTGAGCCATTGGTGCCCGATAGGGGAGATTGATTTTCTCAGTGAAAGGGCCTTGTTTTATTTTAATTGGAAGTCAGTTTAACTCCTGCCTTTTCTCTCCTTGCAGATTAAGGAGGGGACGCACTTTGTGATCCCAACACTGGTTGAAGTCACATCAACCCTTCCTGGATCTACCTTATGGTCTCTCCTCCTGTTCCTGATGATGCTGAGTGGGGGACTGAGCACCACCATGGGGTTCATGCATGGTCTCATTATTCCTCTCCAGGACACCTTCTCTTCTCTGAGGAAACAATCCAGGCCGCTCACAGGTACTCTCACCAGTGGCTCTGATACCACCTAACCCCAACCCCAACCCTTGTCACCACTGAGCTTGAAGCTCAGTGCAGACCTAATGTCTCCTCCAGTGGGCATATCTATGATCATGTTCCTGTGTGGCCTCTTCTTCATTCGACCTTCAGGCTCCTACTTCATCAGACTGCTGAATATCTACTGCACCATCTTCCCCGCTATCTTCATCCTCTTATGTGAAAACATTGCTGTGGCCTGGGCCTACGGGGCCAAGAGGTGACAGACTAGGCTCCAGTGTCCACAGAGCCTGGAGCTAGTGAGAAGGTTGCCCCTTCCTGGTGCTTGCCATGACTTTTTTTGTGTTGATTGTGGGGCTTGAACTCTGGTCCTAGGCGCTGTCCCTGAGCTCTTCAGTGCCACTTCTGCTTTTCTGGTGGATAATCGGAGATAAGAGTCTCACAGACTTTCCTGCATGGCCTGGCTTTGAACTGTGATCCTCAGTTCTCAGCCTCCTGAGTAGTTAGGATTATAGCTTGAGCCACCAGCACCCAGCTTTGTCATTAAAGTTCAGGGCCTTCTCAGAAATATTTTTTTGTTGTTGTTTTTGTTTTTTGTTGTTGTTTTGTTGTTGGTGGTGGTGGTCATGGAGCTTAAACTAGGCCTGGGCGCTGTCCCTGAGCTCTTCAGCTCAAGGCTAGCTCTCTACCACTTGAGCCACAGCGCCACTTCTGGTTTTTCTGGTGGTTTATTGGAGATAAGAGTCTCACGGACTTTTCTGCCTGGGCTTTGAACCGAGATCCTCAGATCTCAGCCTCCTGAATAGCTAGGATTATAGGCATGAGTCACTGGCACCCGGCTCAGAAATCTTTTGTTCATGTTCTATAGAACATTATTTTTGAGTTCTTCATACAAGCCAGCCACTATTTTAAGATAGTGTTGAGATAAAAAAGAATCACCTCTGACCTCAGGGAGCTTGTGTTGTAGAGTATTGATAACCAATAACTAAATTGACCAAAAAAGAAAAAAAATTATATAGGAGAGCCTAGAAGAAGCAAGGAGGTCAGAGGAGCTGGAATAGAATGTTAGGAGATGAGGCCAGACCATGAGGACTTTGTAAGCCTTTTTTAGGCAGCAGGAGAGAAAGCATTGGCATGTTTTGAGTAGGGAATAATATGATCCCATTTACCAAAACAAAATGTAAACAAAAAGCTCAGGTGGCAGCTCCTACGGGGCTGGGTTCAAACCCCAGGAACAACAAAGAAAGAAAAGAGACCTTAGCACAGATATTCTCTTTTACATATTCAGGGGATGGTGGGAAGGGACACACAGAAGATGTTGGAACAGTAGAAGGGATGCATGAACTATGTTTTGATCCGGAAGATTTGTCTAGGGAGGAGAAGATGAAACTTGAAATAAGCCAGGGGATTAGAGGTGTGGTAGAATATTGGAAAGATGCTCAAGTTGGGCTGTTTCTGCCCCCACAGAGTGGTGAGGCCAGACTAGACTCCCTACCCCTTGCAGGTTCAATCCTCCCACTGGGCTTCCCTTGCCCTCCCCTCCCCCATCCCACCCTCTGTCCACAGGTTCATTGAGGAATTGAAAATCCTGTGGAGCAACCCTGTCTCCCGTGTGTTTGTTTGCCTGTGGCGCTTTGTGAATCCAGTTGTGCTGGTAGCCCTGTTAGTGGCCATCCTGATTCATCTCTCAATGAAGCCCCTCATCTATGTGGCCTGGAACTCAGAAAATGTGAGCCTCCCTCCCTCCCTTCCTCCCCACCCCTAAGCCCTGGGACTCACAGACCTTTCAGCCCCCTCTTGATTTAATGACCAGGTCATTTCATTCTTGGTTCCCTTCACACCATTCCTCTCTCCATTTCTTCCTTTTCTCCTGAGAGCATTCATATACTCTAAACTCCTTTCCCATCTCTCCACAGTCAACTCAGATCCTTCGCCTGTACCCACCATGGGGACTGGTCTTGGTGGTTTTTTCTCTTATCATTTTACTCTTCCCCATTCCTGTGTACTTTGTATACTGCCTGGCCTACAGGATTCCCTTCAAGTCCAAGAGCCGGATCAGCTCTATAACATCCTTCAAATCCCTAACCCTAAGAGATCAGAAAAGGTCCAATAACAAGTCCTCAGAGGAGGAAATTCTACAATGATCAACCTATCGTCTGATTTCCTCACTTCATTTGGCCTGACATCATGACATATTCTTTAAAATAAATAAAAACTTAACAGGCAACTCGCCAGCTTGGAACTGTTGATGGCCCTGGATCCAGAACCACTTTCATCCCCCAAGGTAGGGGGCTTCCTTGAGGAAAACCACGAGGCCTGGCTTGCAGCCATCTTCTTAGGCCCTGTCATTTCTGTTTGTCACTGTCATCGTGTCTTTCCCATCCCCTTCCTATGCTACTGGCTTTCCCCTACCAAACCTGCTGCTTCCGCTGCGCTGGCCTCCTGGAATGGGGCCAGCAGAGTCATGCTGTCGGTCAATAAATCTGCCTGTTGCCACCCCAAGCACTGAGTGAGAGGTTTCGTTTTGTTCTGTTTTGCATAGCTGTCCCAGGTATCATGTCTTCCCTCACAGAGTTTCGTTCCTTCTAGAGCCAAATCGTTTAGGATGGTGGTGTCAACACCGACGACAGAAGGACGTGAATGAGCTTTGTTACTGAGAATGGCAGTCTTACCATGGGCCTAAAAATAAGTTTGCCCCAGTGAGTCAAAGGTGAATGTGTACAGCCGTGCACAGCTGGGCGGCATCGATGCCTGGGTGCCCGGTTTCAGCCCAGGGAGGTGGTCCATGAATCTGGGAGCGGCTCTGTGCAGAGCTGCGGCACTGCCCAGATAGAGACCCGGCGGTCAGAGCCGGCATGGGCACTGTCCTGAGAGGTGACTGGACTTGCCAGAGGTCCCGAGAACAGCTTTCTCTCAAATACTCAAAGGCCCTAAGACCTTCCTGACTGCTTAGGGCCCACAGAAAGTTTCTGAAAGAAAAAAAAAAAATCACTGAAGCTGGGGGGGCCCAAATGTGGGCCTGGAGAGTGGGCAGAGGTCTCCGCTCCTGAAGCTGATGATAGGAGGGCTGGAGGGGGGTGTGAACTTCCGTGTCATCTCCCATTGGCTCCTCTGCGCTTGAGCCCCGCCCTCTCCCTCGTTCCCGCCCCCTCGAGTCCAACGACTAACCTGTCTGCTTGAAGACTGGAGTCCAGTAAGAAGGGGATGGGAGAGACAAGGCCCAGGCCTGCTCGCGTTCAAACAGCTCGGGATTCAGCTTCTCTTCTGTTGAAAACTCAGGTGTTCATCATTCTCCCGGCAATCCCAGGTCCAGCTTTGGGAATGGAACTTGGGAAACAGGATTGAAAAGAGGGGGCATACAGGATAAATTGCTGAGGGCCGGATGTAGATCTTATTAATGCCTTTTCCTCCCACTATTTTTGGTTTTTCTCACCTCGAAGCCAATTTTCATCCTTTGGCACTTAAGTGCAAAGTTATCTGGGAAAGTCCCAGATTGCTGAAGGAGGCCGATTTCTATCTATCGGGTGCATTTGCATGGCCTTGGGGATCCTTCAAGTGGATTTCCTAACATCCTATTCTTTTGGAAACTTCTTTGTTAAATAAGTCTCTTGGTAAGGCATCTTTTCACATGTCTTTCATTTTTCACAATGGTGTGAGATCTAGCCATCAGCATTAATGATAATGGCTAATGATAACTTTTTTTTTTTTTTTTTTTGCCAGTCATGGGACCTGAGCTCTGGGCCTGGGCGCTGTCCCTCAGCTCAAGGCTAGCACTCTACCACTTGAGCCACAGCGCCATTTCTGGCTTTTTCTGCTTATGTAGTGCTGAGGAATCGAACCCAGGGCCTCATGCATGCAAGGCAAGCACTCTACCACTGAGCCACCTTCCCAGCCCTAATGATAACTTTTGATTGGCAGTGATTTCTATTTTTCATTTAGGCCAATATATTACACTTTTTATAACCAGTGACTTTTGTATGCTTTTTAAAAATTTTCTGACTACCTCCAAGTTATACATTCTTTGAGGTTATTCATATAAAAATTTTGAACCTAACTCTGGTGGCTCATGCTTTGTAATCCTAGTTACTCAGAAGGCTGAGATCTAAGGATCTGGGTTTGAAGCCAGCCTGTGCAGGAAAGTCTATGAGACTCTTATCTACAGTTAACCACCAAAAAAGTGGAAATGGAGCTGTGGCTCAAGTGATAGAGCTTTAGTCTTGAGCACAAAAACTCAGGGACAGGGGCTGGGAAGTTGGCTCAGTGGTAGAGCGCTTGCCTTGCATGCATGAGGCCCTGGGTTCAATTCCTTAACACCAAATAAGCAAAAAGAAAAAAACTGGAAGTGGTGCTGTGGCTCAAGTGGTACAGCCTTGAGCTGAAGAGCTGAGAGACAGCACCCAGGCCCAGAGTTCAGGCCCCACGACCAGACCCCCCCCCCAAAAAAAAACAACTCAGGGACAGCAGCCATGGCCCTGAGTTCAAATCCCAGGATTTTAATTTTGATTGTGGGGCTGGGAAGGTGGCTCAGTGATAGAGTGCTTGCCTCGCACATATAAGGCCCTGGGTTCGATTCCTCAGCACCACATAAGCAGAAAAAAAACAGAAGTGGCGCTGTGGCTCAAGTGATAGAGTGCTAGCCCTGAGCTGAAGAGCTAAGGGACAGCGCCCAGGCCCAGAGTTCAAGCCCCAGGACTGGCAAAAAAAAGTAAAATAAAAAAATAAAAATTAAAAAAATAAGGGCTGGGCAGATGGCTCAGTGGTAGAGCGCTTGCTTTGAGCCGAAGAGCTGAGGGACAGCACCCAGACCCAGAGTTCAAGCCCCATGACCAACAATAAATAAATAAATAAATAAATTTGATTGTGAGGGGATAATGGAAAGAGGTGTGTGCTCTGTGCATGCATGAAAATGACACATGAAACTCCGTTAATATGCATAATTCATGTTAAAATAAATGTGAAAATATTTTATTGTTTTACCTTTCACCTGAACTACAATCAACAGAGTCGATTTTTTTAAATGTGAATTTGGGGGAGGTCAGGTTCATTCATTTCTATGTAGATTTTCAAATGTCTGCAGTAAATAGTCATTTATGGACAAGAGTGTCCTTTCTCCACAGCTCCACAGTGCCGTCTGTGTTGTAAATCAGTTATCCAAATATGTGAGTATGTTTCTGAACTGTCCCACACATCTTCAATAGAACTCCATGTGGAGATGATCTATAGCTGCTCTTCCAATATGGCAGCCAGGTGCTACTGTGCACCTAGCAGGTGGCTAGTGTTTTTGTTTTTGCTAGTCCTGAGGCTTGAACTCAGGGCCTGGGCACTGTCTCGGAGCTTCTTTTGCTCAAGGCTAGCACTCTACTACCTGAGCCACAGCACTACTTCCGGCTTTTTCTGTTTATGTGATACTGAGGAATGGAACCCAGCGCTTCATGCATACTAGGCAAGCACTCTACCACTAAGCCACAGTCCCAGCTGGAACTTAGTTGTTGTTCTTTTTTCTTTTTTTCCATATGTGGGGCTTGAACTCAGAGCCTGGGCCATGTCCCTCACCTCTTCAGTTCAAGGCAAACGCTCTGCCACTTGAGCCACAGTACCACTTCTGGTTTTCTGGTAATTAATTGGAGATTTTCCTGCTGTGGCTAGCTTTGAACCATGATTCTCAAATCTCAGCCTCCTGAGTAACTAGGATTATAGGCAGGAGCTACCGGTGCCCAGCTGGCACTTAGTTTTTTAATGCTATTTTATTTTGTTGACCATGGGGCTTGAACTCAGGGCCTGAGTGCTGTTCCTGAACTTTTTTTGTTGTTGTTGGTCGTGGGGCTTGAACTCTGGGCCTGGGCACTGTCCCTGAGCTCTTCAGCTCAAGGCTAGCACTCTCCCACTTGAGCCACAGAGCCACTTCTGGTGTTCTGGTGGTTCATTGTACATGAGTCTCCCTGCCTGGGATGGCTTTGAACTGCAATACTCAGATCTCAGTCTCCTGAGTAGCTAGGATTACAGATGCGAGACACTGGCACCTGGCTTTTTTTTTTTTTTTCTATAGTGGGGATCGTGTGATCTTAGCTGTGCACCCCTGGGTGGGGGAGGACATGGGTGCTGTATGATTAGCCATGTCTTTCTTCATCTCATACACTTAAAGCCAGTAGCCCTTGATGTCCTTAAAGGTCAGCCCAGAATGACTCCTTGTCTCTGCTGGATTACGAGCTGGAGACTGTTCCAGAGGCTGAGCGGGCTGGGGAAACTATGAAGTCCCAGGATGTGAGGCCAGAAATCCCCGTCTCTTCACAGTCCGAGCCCTTATTAGTGATCCCCGAAGCCCTTAAGGCCCCCAAAACCCTTGAGGCCCCCGAAACCCTTGAGGCCCCTGAAGCCCTTGAGGCCCCCAAAGCTCTTGAGGCCCCCAAAGCCCTGGTCCCTGTGCTGCCTCCCAGTGAGTCCAACAGGGAGGAGTACTCTGAAGACATGCTGCCTTCATACATATGGGATGATGATGACTATGAAGATATAATGAAAGTCCCATCCAGCCATGAGCGGCAGGAAGAAGTCACTGAACGACCATCCTGGGCCAATAAAACTGAGTACCTCCTGGCCCAGGTGGGCTTCTCTGTGGGGCTGTGCACCATCTGGCGCTTTCCTTACCTGTGTTTTCACAATGGAGGGGGTAAGCCTTCTACCAGGATTTGTGGCTTATGGTGGTGGAAGGGAATGAGGAACCGGAGGCCTATCATAGATGCTCTGGAATTTGTAGGGACAGAAGATTCGGGAACCTATCTGGGTCAGGAATCAGGTAGCTGGACACCCAGGATCTGAGAGGAAGGTGGATAGTTGGAATTCTTACATCCACAAGGATGAAGAGTCTAGAGGCTTAGTCAGGGGCTGGGGCACAAACTAGGTATGTCGGGGTACAAACTAGGTGAGCAGGTCTTCCACAGATCAGGGACTGGGGAGTTGGTGTGTGCAAGTTCCAGTACTGGGGGTCCTAGTGAGCATGTTTTCCTTTGAAGAAGTTCTCAGAGCCCCTCCTCAATCCTCTTTTGCAGGCAGCTTCATCCTTACCTACATCGCCATGATGCTGCTGGTTGGGATCCCACTCCTTATCCTGGAGATGGCCGCTGGCCAGAGACTGCGCCTGGGCAGCATTGGTGTCTGGAAAGCCATCAGCCCCTGGTTCGGTGGTGTGGGGTATGCCAGCTTCATCGTGAGTAGTCCTAGTCTACGCCCAAGCCTTCTCTTCACCCCCTCCTCCCATCTCTACCTTTGTCCCAGGATTGGTCCCTCAAACAGGACAATACTTCCCATGTGTGTCCC